ATTTGGTGACTTTTTGTACAACATATCATTTTCTTTATTGTTTATATTTACTAATAACTTGTTATATAAATGAAAATAATATCAAAAATATTAAAAATTAATTTTAAATAAATTTTTGTATACATTAGTTACTTTTTCACAGTGCAGTCATTTTGACTGCTTTTGGGCAATATAGATATTTCAGTCTTTCTAGTGCTAATTCCTTAGCAGTATATACATGTTTCCTAAAAACAAAGGTTTTGAGGAAATGTGCGTTGCCCTCTTTGCCTTCTTCTCTGCACACCATTAAAGTAAACATATTCCCGCTACAGCCCACTGTGGGCCAAGGGGGTCATAGAAATTAAAGCTTCAAAATTCTACACATCATTGACGTATGCTAATGATCTTCAAGCAACTCATGATATAATTTAATACTGTTATTCATTTCTTGAAATGAAGTAAAGAATGCCGATAAATAGAAATTTGTTTAACCAATCAACTATCAGTTCAATATTGGAACTGTAGTTGATTGAATAAAAAGAAAAATGATTAAATACATTAAAAAGAAACACTGCATTCTTTGAAAGGCCAATCAAACCTTTTAGTACGCCAATTTAAGCAGTATCCGCGTGTTAATGAACATCCTTGTTGAAGTAAATTCACCATTCCGTTTCAGCTGCATTTCCGTTTAGTTTGTCACGTCCGAAAAATATAATAAACGGTTTCACTTTCAATTTTAAAAAAAAATTGTGTTCGCTTACTTCCCACAAGAAATGTATCAAAACTATACTCACTGAAAATTTTGACTCATTTAAGCTGCCGTGGATAATGCTTCATCACATCCGTGGGAATATTGAAAAAGAATAGAGAAAAGAAGAAGAAAAAAAATCTGTATAATTTCATAAGAAACTTTTCCTGCACGAATTGATCTGGATTGAATAATATAATGCAGTTAAGTAAAGGTCACATAAGTTCAAATCAAAATTTCTCACAAAAGCAAACAACAAATAAATATATANTTGTACTATTCATATCAATCTAGAGTGAGTTTCAACAAAAATATTGACAAACTATATTGATCTAGTTTAATTCTATGCTATATCAGTATAGTAAATAAAAAATTATTCTTAAAAACTTAACTTAAATTGAAATTTTATATTTAGATCAACCATTTTAACTTTTAAACATAAATTATTTGAAATTTTTTGTCCAATATTAGAAGTTTTAAATTGATAATTTTATATTTTAAAACATTCATATAATATTGAAGTGAACATAAATAATTAGGGCATCTTCTATAATTATTATAATAAATAACTCTGCTTCTTTTAGAGTTATAAATATTCATAGTAGTTTTTTTTAAGTAAAGTCTTTAAATTATCATTGAAAATTTTTTCGCAAGTCAAAAACGACAATACAAATGTGTATTGCACCTTCCAATAGTTATATTATATACAGCTTTATGTGGAATTTCACATAAAGCGGTATTCTTCTCTCCTAAACGTTTCAGTTATTTTTTTGTTCGGGAGAACAATGTAAAAATATTACAATAGAAATCATTATTTTATTTTATTGTTATTTCGGCATCATTTAAATATTTTGATGTCCCCCAAAAACCAAATAAATATCTTATTTCAGAAATAATGATTTGGTGACAACCGATTTGGACATCGAAAGTTTCAGTGATTTTGTCAATTTTGAATGGAAAACACAATACATTGTTTTAAATTAGTCGCTTTATGAGCATTTAAGCTGTGTGAATAAAATTTTGTTTGTTGATATTTGGGCCAGAAACAATGCAATTGAAATGTAACTATAAAATTTCAAGAATGCAGCCCTTTTTGAACGAAACAATTTCAAGACATATCAAAATCAAATTTGCACCGATTGTGGAATAGCAAAATTTTTCTTTGATACTATTCAAGATAACGATCTGATAAAATTAAAATAATTTGTTTCGTGCCAGCTTGAAAATCAAAACAAAACGGATGAACTTTTTATAAATTGTTAGAATACTTAAAATATGAGAATCTTTTCTGTTTACTCTGGTAATCTTTTGCCTAATAAAAAGACAAAAGGAAATTCTCGTTTTTTTTTCTTTATTTATTTTTCATTCTCCAAATTGGGATTTTTGACATAGCGCAATCGTTTCTAGATAATTAAAAACTTATTTAAAAACCTATAAGTTTTTTTTCTTGTCTAAAAGTTATGTATTTTTTTCATACTCTTCTTATATATATTTTATAGCAGAAATAATTTTTATTGACATAAAATATTGAAAATTAGCTATCCTTGGTCCTTTTCCTAACTCAGCGGTTTCCAAAACATGTTCCGAAGAACTCTAGGGCTCCGTGGAAGAATCACAGCGGCTGGAGAGTTAGGATTTTTTGTAACCTTTAATAAATATATTTAATAGATATATTTATAACGCTTATCTTTACAATTTCTCAAATTCATCAGAACGAATTAATTTTCTCCACATTTGTTTAAATTTTTAAAAAAATAAAATAAAATAAATAAATGAAGACAACGAAGGAAATTAAAATTTCAAATTTAGATAGATTTAAGAATTTTGTATTATAATTCCCTAAAATAAATAATATGTAATAACTCTATTGCTCAAAACGTCTTATACTTATTAATAACAAAATATTTTGCTTGAGTCAAATGTTTATCTGTTAAAAAACCTTTTTATAATAGAAATAAATAATTATTCAGCTACTACCTAACTTATTTATTTATTTTTATTTATTTTTTTGCTTATTTAATTTTGAGTAAACCTTTACGGTTTCATATTTAATTTGCAGTTTTTTTTTTGAAAATAAAATAGATATGCCTTTTAAGTTTTAACTTTGATGATTGGAACTAAATTTTTTTTCATTCTAATGCGTGTTATTAAATGATGTGCCTGTTTTTATTAAAATGAGCAGTGCACTCGTTTAGATTACATTTTCAACACTATTCAAGATTAAACAAGATAAAGACAAAAGGAAAGAATAAAAGAGGAGTTTTCCATAATAGTTAAAATTATAAACTTAATTTTAATTTCATTCTCTGCAAGAGAAAAAAAATACATAAGAAAAGCTATTTGGTTTAATTCCTTAGCAGTATACACATGGTTCCTAAATCCAGTAGTTTTGAGCCAATGTGCGTTGCCCTCTTTGCCTTCTTCTCTGTTCACCATTAAAGTAAACATATTACCGCTACAGCCCATTGTGGGCCAAGGGGTCATAGAAATTAAAGCTTCACAATTCTACACGCCATTGACGTATGCTAATGATCTTCAAGCAACTCATGATATAATTTAATTCTGTTATTCATTTCTTGAAATGAAGTAAAGAATGTCGATAAATGGAAATTTGTTTAACCAATCAACTATCAGTTCAATATTGGAACTGATAATTGATTGATTAAAAAGAAAAATTATTAAATACATTAAAAAGAAACGCTGCATTCTTTGAAAGGCCAATCGCACTTTTAGTACGTCATTTTAAGCAGTTTCCGCGTGTTAATGAACATCCTTGAAGTAAATTCACCATTCTGTTTCAGCTGCATTTCCGTTTAGTCTGTCACGTTCGAAAACTATAATAAACGGTTTCACTTTCTATTTAAAAAAAAATTGTATTCGTTTACTTCCCACAAGAAATGTGTCAAAACTATACTCACTGAAAATTTTGACTCATTTTACCTACCGTGGATAATGCTTCATCACATCCGTGGGAATATTGAAAAAGAATAGAGAGAAGAAGAAAAAAAAATCTGTATAATTTCATAAGAAACTTTTCCTGCACGAATTGATCTGGATTGAATAATATAATGCAGTTAAGTAAAGGTCACATAAGTTCAAATCAAAATTTCTCACAAAAGCAAACAACAAATAAATATATATTTACCTTATGTGATTCAATGTTAATTTAACCAACATATGATAAAAAGAAAAAAAAAAGTTTTTCAAATGTGAGAGTCACACCTTTATTAAATCAAAAACCAAATTTCACGATCTCTTTTAAAATATGCATTGCATTACTACTGAATACAATAGAAAGTAAATATAGAGCTTCAACTTCCGAATTGTACTATTCTTAGATATTGTTATTCAAAGGTTGATTACACAAAAATATTTAAATTTATCTTTTGAAAAGCATGGTTAAAAATATTTAGCTTATTCACTCACAGCTGACTTATGATTCATGTGATTTAGACTAAATACCACTACTATTAAATAAATAATCCCAAGAAACTGAAGCGGTAATATATTACTTGGGTAATATATATTATGGGACATAGATGTGACTGATATCGAGAATTCGACAAATCGTCTATTGCTGCCCATTGTTGGAATCTTGGTCATTAATTTAATTTCGACAATTCGCTCATCTTGATGCCCTATCATCTATGATGATCTTGTTTGTTTCATATGAAGGCTGATTCCTTTGTTGACGACATAAGTTTCTCACCACTTCTCCATAGAGCGTGGAAATGCATTTTACCCTGATTCTCCCTTCTCAGCCCCCGTGGTTTTTCTTGTTTTGCTTTTCCTATTTATTTTTATTCTCTTTCTCTCAACTAAAGAGGATTTTCTAGTTTTTTTCTCACCCTTATTTTCCATTTTTCGTTGGCAACTTTTGCATTTTATATTTCAAATCACTTTTGTTTCTTTTCATTCACGCCTGGTAAGCCTTTAAAATGGGAGCTTATTTTTGAGCGCTTGAAACATGTCGATTGTTATTTTTAATCTGAAGCGAATGAAGTTTTTTAATCAAGTAAATACCACTACGTCTTTCATTATTTATATAAGTATGGTTAACATCGGGTTTGATAAAAGAATAACAAACGAGTATTACTTTTTTACCACAGAGCAAAGCAGACTGATGTTAAATGATTCCTAGAATATAATTTCTGAGCATAAAAAATTCATAAAATAGTTAAAATTTTCATTGCATGATTTACGTAAATTGCTGAAATGACAACAAACATAAGATAGATTTGGAGAATGAAATGATATATTATTTTAGACTTACGTATATTAGGCCAATAGCAGCAGTTGATAGGCACAATGAACCAAGATAGATAAATGATATTTATCATTCCATAACAACTACTTATCTTCATAATTCTCCCTTTTTTGAATCTAGGATTGAAAAAGTCATTGTTTAAGAAAAACTTAATAGCGTATAAAACTACATGGTGATTGTTCCTTTAACATATTATATTAAATGTTTTCATTGTTGTATTATAGGATAGATAGTTTAAAAATTGTCAAAATCTGGAGATCCTAAAAAGGAAATATATGACCTACGTTAAACTATTCTTTTCAAACCCTATTCTTAATACGTGGTAAAAAATCGTAGGACGTGGTGCATCGGGTTTTGTAAAAGAAATAGATATTTAAATATTGCTTTTTGGTAAATTAAGTATTGTTGACGTTAATCGAATCAGACAAAACACGAAATTATCGGATTGATAATTTAAAATTTATAACTGACTTAATGTACAGAAAGTACAGTTTTGTACTTGTACATATTTACGCATTGTATTATGTACATATTAGGCACACATTTACATGGGATTACGCTAAATATGAATTTTTTTCCCCATTGAATCGAATAAAACTAAACTTAAGTCAAATGGTCTAATAGTAGTTGGCAAGTTGCATAGATTTTAATGTGTAAAAAGTATCATTTTTGAAGTGAATACATTTACATTCTTGAAAATGCTATCTAGAGAAGCGATACTTAGTATTTTATTTATAGAATTATAAATGATAGATTTTTTTTGTTGTTGACCAAACCTTGAGATTCATTAGTAATGCTGAACATGTTAAACAAAGAACGACAACTAATTATTTTGAAAATATTTAATATGAAGAATGAAATTTTTAATAGTTTTATCTATTATAATTTTAAAATTAGGATTTATGTCTGACAATAAAAATCATAGTGCTGAAGGGGCTTCAGGCTCAGTTTTTATTTATTTATTTTGTATTATGCATTTTTTTTAAAATAGCTATTTAAAAAATAAGCATTTTTTGTTTACTTCGATAAAAATTCATTTCGCAATTTATATTACTTTATTTCAATATTTATTTAATTGAATTTCCTATTTATTCCATTTAAATAAGCATATTATTAAATAAATAGTGTATTATTGATTGAATATGAATTATAATTACGGGTTTCAAAAGTTATTACTAGTAAATAGCAAATAGCATCTAGCATCAATGGTAAAAGTGTAAATAACTCTAAGTCTGATATAGTACTTTTATATATAAAAATCATTGCAATTCCTGACCCAATTTTCCTATTCATACGAGGGTTGCTATTTATATTTCTGGCCAAATAATGAAAAAACAAATATGTAGGATCGAAATTGGTTTTATTGTTTTTCAAAATATTCTCCATGATGATCAATACACTTTTGCATGCGTTTGAACCAANTTGAAAAAGTCATTGTTTAATAAAAACTTAATAGCGTATAAAACTACATGGTGATTGTACTTTTAACTTATTAAATTAAATGTTTTCATTGTTGTATTATAGGATAGATAGTTCAAGAGTTGTCAAAATCTGGATATCCTAAAAAGAAAAGATATAACCTACGTTAAACTATTAAGTAACCTCTTCTTAATACGTGGTAAAAAATCGCAGGACATGGTGCATCGAGTTTCGTAGAAGAAAGAGATATTTAGATATTGCTTTTTTTGGTAAATAAAGTATTGTTTACGTTTACGAAATTATCGGATTGATAATTTAAAAGTTATAACGGACTTAATGTACAGAAAGTACAATTTTGAGTTTGCACATATTTACACATTGTGTTATGTACATGTTAGGCGCACATTTACGTGGGATTACGTTAAATATGCTTTTTTTACTCGTTGAATCGAATAAAACTGAATTTAAGTCAAATGGTCTAATAGTTGGCAAGTGGCATGGATTTTAATATGTAAAAAGTACTATTTTTGAAGTGTATATATTTACATTCTTGAAAATGCCATATAGAGGAGCGATACTTAGTATTTTATTTATAGAATTCTAAATGATCGATTTTTTGTTGTTGAATAAACCTTAAGATTCATTAGCAATGCTGAACAAGGCAAGGCTACTAATTATTTTGAAAATATTTAATGTGAAGAATGAAATTTTTAATAGCATTATCAATTATAATTTTAAAATTAGGTTTTATGTCAGACAATAAAAATCATGGCACTGAAGCTGCTTTAGGTCCAGTTTTTATTTATTTATTTTGTATTATGCATTTTTTTTTTTAAAAATAGCTATTTGAAAATAAGCTTTTTTTTATTTATTTCGATAAAAATTCAATTATATTATTTTATTTCAATATTTATCTAATTGTATTTTATATTTATACCATTAAATTAACCATATTATTAAATAAATAGTTGATTATTGATTGAATATGAATTATAATTACGGGTTTCAAAAGTTATTACTAGTAAAAAAAACCTAACATTCGGAACCTCTGTGACCCTTCCATGGAACCATATGGTTCCGCTGAACACTTTTTGTCTGTTTTTTTTCTCTACCTAGACAAGTAAAATGTTTTCGGTATGTATGTTTTATTCTTAAATTAATTAAATAAAACTCGTGTCGATGTACGAATATTTTAGAAGTTATAAAAGTTCTACTCATACAAAAATTAATTTAAAAAAATTAGTTTTTATACAAAAAAATAAATAAATAAATAAAATAAAATAAACTTCTGAGCTACTAGTTCTATTGACTAGTATTTGGTTTCATTCAATTTGTCATAAAAATTCATTACAAACAAGACTTCGATCCTTTGATAGCATTGTTAGATTTGTAAAACAATACCGGTTGACTGAAATACTTTTGATACACATCTAAAATCGGGTTTAATCTTATTCGATTTAGTGTAAAAAAACATACTAATGAAAAAGTATCTTACCTGTCTAAATAGCATCTAGCATCAATGACAAAAGTGTAAATTACTACAAACCTGATATAGCACTTTTATATATAAAAATCATTGCAACTCCTGACCTAATATTCCTATTCATATTTGGTTTTATCCAATGCAGCGTGAAAAATATATAACTTCTTTATTTGTTTCTCTAGTTTACATAACAATGTTAGATACGTAAACGTATACAAGTACAGAATTAAACTTATTATACGTAAAACTCTTATAACTTCTTAACTAGTAGACCCCTCTTGTGTTAGGTCTTATTCCTTTCAGCGTTTGAAAACACATCGAAAACAATGCTTCATTTGTTTCAAGAGCAGTATTTAACAGATGAGTTTGCTTAAATAGCAAAAATTAAAACTCTCCGTTTGCGATTTTTCAATCCAAAATTCCACGGCCCACTCCCCTCTTTAGGGGGTAGCCACAATTTGCGAAATATGATTCTATAGTTTGGTCAGAAGAGAGGTCCAAATTTGAACTTCTTAATTTTAATTTTTCTTCTGATGTATTTCATATCTCGAAAACTTTTTAAGCGAATTGAAAAATTTTTGCACAGAATTATAAAATTTGTTTATCCTAAGATAGTAATATGTGAAAAAATAAAAAAAAAACTTTTAGTAAATATTTATTACTTTTTATTATTTTATCTAATTAGTCGAAAAAATTTTGAATTGTATTTTTTACATTAATTTAAAGAATTAATCTTACATGGCAAAATTCGAAATTTGCTCTAAATCGTTCAAAATCCAAATCTAAAAAAAAAGTCTCTTCATTTTAAATTTTCTCTTGTCCAAATTATTGAGACCATATTTCCCAGATTGACGCCCGGTAGTTGAGTGGTAGAGCTTCGAGCTCTCGTGTCACAGGTCTGGGTTCGATCCTCGGGTCGAACCAGGTTCACTCAGCCTTTCATTCTTTCAGCGGATCTATAAAATGAGTGCCAAGCATACTTGGAAACTAATCACTGGGAGTTCCACGATGACAACCCAACCGGAACAGTTGCTCCTGCACCACAGGGCCTAAGGTTAAAAAAAACTATGATAGCTCAGTAGGCCTTTGCACTTTATACGCTGTCACACCACTGAGTTTAGTTTATATATCCCAGATTGCGCTGCACCCTATATTTTAGGGCTTAGAAATCCTAATCCGTCGAAATAAAAATGTGTTTATTCAGAAAAAGTATGTTTTTCTATCAAATTTATCAAACTTAGAATATTGTCAGTGCAAAGTCAATTAGCATATTTCAGTTCATCGCTTCGAACCATAAAGTCCTATAACGTGAAGATCCGATCATTAGATCAAAAGTTATTCAGGGTAGTCCTTTTTTTCTTCTATTTTTAGTTTGCTTACTGTACATAGCATTTTAAAAATTATTTTTATGTATTTATTAATTTTATAAATTTCTGAAAGCTCTGGGCTATAAATATTAAAAATTTCATGCTAAATATATCTATATATTGTAAGTTTCTTTCTATACCTAAAAACTGACTTATTTTCCTCAAATTTTGCATACTTAAATAATGACCTAGAATGATCTTATTTCCAGTCTTCAGTCGTGACCAAAAAAGTTTTATATCCATATTTTCTCTAGATAATGACTTTCTTCAAAATAAGTAAGTAACAATGTAGTTGATCTCAATTTCTCTTCATAATAAATAATAAAATAGAGCTAGGTATATTTCAGAATATTTTTCCAACTCTCCCCAGTTAAAAAATATTTTTATGATTTTCAAAGTATTCATTTTAAACATTTTCGTCTTCAACAAGTGGGTAAAGGTCATTGAAAAATCTCACAACTCAGTTGCTTCTTTTTTTAAACTATTTTATTTTATAACTGTCGTTGAACACCCGATCCAATTTTGGGTTTACGACTACTAATGTTCAACTTAACTTTAATGACAAATACTGTTCAACCTTGTAATTTTGAACCCAATACCGAAGACAAGGGAACTCCTGGATCAAGTATTGGGAGAAATTCGCCTTTGTGGGGGACTTTTTGATGGAACAAACTCGTATTTGCTTTACATGGAGAGGAAAACCGCAAAAACCTACCACGGTTAGTTGAACGGCAAGGGGACTCCAACTATATCCGTATACCACTGATGATATTTTACCTCAGTACTTTGGTCGGTGCGAGAGTTCGTATCGACTAGCCATCACTGGGATTCGATCCCGGTTTCCCTCATTGGAAGGCGAACGCTTTATCCCCAGAGCCACCACAGATTGACACCAAATTATTGAATGAAATAATATATTTGTTAAAATTACTGTTTGACTATTTGAAAAATGTCAAAAATGTGTGTTGAATAATCGTAACCTGTGCAGCTGTTTAGGATGTTCAATTCTTTGATACTTTCTGCTTTGCTTTGTAAAAGCTATAAGATTTAAAAACTTGAAATTACGAAGGTGCGTACCAAAATGTTCAAAGAGTAAAAGCATAGGGGAACTATTATTTGGACAGGCATTATTATGTTCGATCACTAGCATTTAAAAATACAACATGCTTATTAGGTCATTTGTATATGCAGTGGCATCTAAACTCCTATAGTCTATTTTCTTGACTATAAACTCCAGCATTTGAAATGCTTGCAAATAAAATTTTTCATTGATAATTAAAGCAGTAAAATTTAAAACAAAGAGAATTTTTACAAACTTTTCATCAGATTTAGAGAACATGACCATTTGACTGCAAGGTATTTAATATATTTGCTCAAATTATGTATGCAGTGGTGTATGAAATTCTTCTATCTCGAATTTATTGAAATATTAATACTTTACATATGGTACAACTGGGAAAATATTTTCTCAAATTACAAAAAATCCATAGTAAGCTAGTGGGTATGTGGCTATCAAGAATTTTAAACAGTTTTAATATATATATCCATAATCAGAGCTGATAACCTGGAGGTATTTCACAATATTTGAAGTGGTAGTAAGCTAATGTTGTTAGGGCATAAAAAGTTCGCAGGATGCTTAGTGGGACTATATCATTGAATTTTTCAAATGTCGTGGTAGTCAATGTTATTTTAATCCAAATATTAATTCATGAAATTTGGTACCACTTTAATAGAAATGCCAACTTGCTCCGCATTGTAAAAAAATATTTTCTAGTGGAAACGAAATTTATTTTTAAATTAGTTACCCCTATTATTAGTTAGTTTGTATCTTTCATTTTTAAGTAATTTTTCAACCACTATATATTGAAAATTCAAAGTATCATATTAAAAACAGCAGTTATTTCATGGTGACTCTTTCAAAGAGTGGACTTAATTATCCTTATTCTACTAGTTTTGTTATTTCATTCGCTATCAATTTGCTGAAACTTTTGCAGAAAGAGCTACAGTTGGCATACTTGCTTTAAATGTTGGCGAATCTGGAAATTCTATGATTCTTACAAGACTGAAAGCCCTTATACATCAAGATGGAGAAGGGCAAAAACTGATAAGAAAATAATTTCATTTTAACTTGTTTTCAAGAAAAATTAAAATCATCTTGACTGTCACATTTCACTTATAACACGTATGTAGGATTTATTGCACTTATTTACTAGAAAAGAAGCAAATAAGAAATGAAAACTCTATCATTAAGTATAGTAAGAACTTATTTTGCACCTTCTGTATTTCAGCTATAAATGAAATGATGTTACTATCAGTTTTTACTCTTTTCCATGTTACTATCAGTTTTTACTCTTTTCCATCTTGCTTGCAGCCTTTTTTATAATAGAAAACATAAAAATTACGAGATTTTCTATAATTAACATTAATTAAAGCTTTACATCCGTTATTTTCGCTTTACTTTTTAATAAATCAGGCCTGTAGGAGATTACATGTATAAATTTCTGCTCTAATTAACTTTTAGCAGGTCTTGGTTTAATCACGAATATTTTGCATTCCAAAAACAAGGAAAAAAGGAAGTGGTATTTTTTTAATTTTTTGAAAAACAGGAGAAAAATTGCTGCCAATTTTTAAACTTTTGCGTTATTGCAAAGATTGCATATACATTTTGCGTTTTCTAAATCGCATTACTACGTGACTTATAGACAATGTGTTAAAACTGTAGATAATATAATATTTATAACTATACACGAAATTTTTTGGGTATTGTATCGTAGTTGTCAATTACTCCCACTTTTTAATGAAATATTTTGTCAAATAATTTATGTGATTGCAAAATGCATGTTTTAACATTTGCTGACTTAAAAAGATTTTGTCCACCAGGGAATATAAATACATAACATTAATAATTTATTGATAATCATGCGGTAATGTTTACAACAGCTGGCAAACTTAAAAAAAAGAATTTAGCTCACTTTAAACAGTATTCTGTTAGATTACGTATTAGATATACGGTAACTACATATTAGATATTTGACCTGTTATTAAAGATCAATTTGCATACCTATCATTTGCAGCTTCTTCATTAATTTTTTTTTCAATTCACATGTACCTACTCGATTATATCATAATAGTAACTTCAAAAATATGAATTTTCAAAATTTAATTATTTATTTAAACTAACAATGTGCAATAACTGAGTTTTAATTGATTAATTTAAATGTAGTTATATTATACATGAAAAAACTATACTTCCTCATTTATGCTTATTTCATTACTTTTCTTTCTTATATGCTCCTATATGTTAAGTTTATAATTATTATTCGTCTTCTGTGACAAATACAAGTCTCATACACATTCCAAAATAATTTAATGACCAGCATAAGCAATTAGTGCCCACCTTTGCACCAAAAGGGTGGTCTTATCTGCATGACAAATAAACAGAAGTAATTTTTTTAAACTATTTCCGTTAAGGAAAAAAACGCTACAACTGCATTGATTTAAAGATGTTTCCTTAACTATATTCCTTTTATCAAACAAATTTGACCCGAATCGCTTAAATAGTTTGAACTAGTTCAAATACATGATTTTAGTTAAAAACAGCATTACTAAAAAAAAAAAGCAAATAAATAGTTTGTCAAAAGCATACCTGTCAAAACAACGTTTTTTAAAGTAGTAGGCACAAAACAGAATTGTTGATCAATTGCGGTTTTTGACCGTTACCTTAAACAAGAAAAAAAATTCACCATTTCCAATAAAAGTCTCAGACCATAGTGGCAGACTTTCGGATCTCGTTCATACAAGGAGAGGGAAGTTTATGAAGTACAAGACATTACTCTGGTGTTGAAGAAGTACCTATTCTTTCAGTGTGTTTATTTGCATATTTATGAGCCATCAAAATAACCCAGTCTTCCCATTATGAAAGAAAGTTGTAAAATACTCCACGATTGTGTTCCGCATCCATTTTATTAGAGTCTTCATTTAGACTGCGTGCACTGAATTTAACCCAAGAAAAGAACACTGAAGACAATAGAGATTGCCGTTTAGGTATTGCATGTGCTATTCAAAAATGGATACTTGGTCTTGGATATTAAAGGATATAATTGAAATGTTTCACAAGTCTAGTACAATATTTTACTGTTGATGTTTATGATGTTATTCCGCGTCGTAATAAAAGCACAAAACGTGATGTTCAAATTGTGAAAATTTTTTTAAGAAAATGGAATTATTAGAAATGAGTAATTGGTAACCTTCGAAGTTTTAGATTTTGACACAGTACGTTACAGTAACGATGTATGCCCCTCAAAAAGCAAAAAAAAAAAGTTTTAGAAAATTAATTCATTATTAAATCATTTATCAATTCAGCTATTCATTTGTAATTTAACACAAGAAAAGAAAACTGAAGACGATAGTGATTGCCATTTGGGTACTGCATGTCGTATTCAAAAATGGATACTTGGTTATGGATATTAATAGTTATTATTGAATAGCTTCAATACAATAAAATATTTTATTCTTTATGTTTATTGTACTAAGGCGTTGTCCTAAGCATCCAAAGCCTGATGTTAAAATTGTAAAAACTTTTTTAAAAACTGGAATTATTAAGAATGAGTAATTGGTAGACTTCGAAGTCTTAGATTTCGACGCAGTATGTTACAATGATGATATGTGCGATAAAAAAAGAAAAAAAAAATTGAAGTGACTTAACTCATCTGATATAATTTCTCAATTTTGCTGTTTAGCTATATTTCAATCGTAGCTAAAATCATGCATTTCATTACCCATGATATATATTTAAAAACGAAACAGTTTTTCCTTGGAGCCTTTCTGGCCGAACACTCTCGCCGGCCGATTAGCCTGCAATGGGAGGTAGCGGGGTTCGAATTCTGCCGCGGCCCTGGATGTGTTTCTGTGGTGACTTTCTGTAACTTTTCAGAGTATCGACCACCTCAAACAAAAATCTTTTTAAGTGTATTTGTTAATTACCACTCTTTTTTCAAAAATGAATTTGTAATCCTGAATATCAGATTCGTTGGTGGCATTGTTTCATGAAAATTAGTAAGCTAAAAAATCGTAAAGTTTGGAATAGAGATCGTGAATATTTTTGTGGGTAAAAATAACATCATTTCTAAAAGATTCAAGTACGATCTTTCAAATTGTGCCTACAGTTTTGACATGTAAGATCTTAAAAAAAGAAGAAAAAAACTTTAGCTGTTAAGAGAAAGATTGTTTACATAAAGTTAGCGTTGAAGTGTTTCAATATTTCATCCCCTGTATGAGTAGCAAATAAGTAAATAAATTGATAGATATATGTCAGGAAGTGCTGCACGCATTTAGTAACCACATAATTTTATGATTGTCAGTTATTAAATAAAAATATTATATTTATTTTAAAGCAGAAGATCATAAGATCACAGAAGATCATAAAAAGTCTGTTAAGAAAGAAAAAACAAGTACTGATTTTCTATTAAGGTAGTTCTTTGTTCTTAATAGAACTTATTTTTAATGGATAACTTCAAATCAGTTAATTTAAACTATTATTGCAATAAAAGCAGGGGTGCCAACTGCACCGCTTTCTGTAAAAGTTTTTATAAATTGGCAGTGAATTAAATAGTGAAGTTTGCGGAATAAGGATAATTACGCATACTCTTCAAAAGAGTAAACGCGATATAAATACATTAACGCTTTAATGGGCCATTTATTTCTAGTAAAGGTAAATAAAAGTATTTTTGGAATTGAAATTGATATAAGAATCGTAATTGATATAAGGAAAAAGAATAACTTAGCTTATAAAAAATTAATCTAAATTTTAATGCCATTTTTTTTGGTGGTAAGTATGTTTACCACGACCTATTAGGAACTTATTGACTTTTATTTTTCGCTGTTTATAAAATAAAAATTTTATAACTGTTACAAACTTCAAAAGGAATTATGTATTTTATAACTTTTATACGTTATCTTAAACTAACAAATGGTTACCAAATTTATTCAAATCCTCTTCAAGAAAGCTGAAGTTATTAACAAATGGAAACCTAAATTAAAAGTGGTAAAAAAAGTTTGCCATGGACTTTAAAAAGTGGTGGTAAGTATACTTACCACGGCCTTCGAAAAGGTTAAAGATGCATTTCATATGATATTTCGAATTTTCGATACGTAATGGTGGAAAAATGACTTAAAATGAAAAACAGTGAACTAAAAATAACTAAATTTCGTTACCACTAGAAAATACTTCTCACAAAGTGAAAAAAGTAGGTATCTGTGCTCTTTTGAAGAGTATGCGCAATTATCCTCATTCCGCAAACTTTACTGTTTAATTCGCTACCAATTTATTAAAACTTTTACAGAAAGCGGAGCAGTTGGCCTCCCGTCTTTTATTGCAATAATATTTCAGATTCCACTATGAATGAGATAGGGGCCGCTTCGCGTCCCAGGTGCCCAGTAAAATTAAAGCACTAGGGCTAGAAAAGTATATTTTAAAGAAATAAAGTCATATTGGAACATGAAACAGTTTCTGAGGCGCTACGTTTTATTAACAGTTAATAGTAAAATAACAATTTATGCTACTATGGAAAATGCATGTACACAATATAGTAAATGTAGTAAGTAGTAACTATATGGCAAATGCATATAATACTAATCACACAGTAAATATAAGTTAAGTAGAACTATCCTCCAAAGAAACCTGTGTAGATGAAATGTCTTAATAATGAAAACATCTACCAAAAAAAAAGGAATTGTTTAGTATATTCTAAGAAAAGAAACATTTATTATCGAAATATTCAAATAATACACATATTTATTATTATTCACAATACATATCGACTTTCTAAGTCAGGCGTGGAACTTGCTTTTACATTATGCAGCAGAAATAGGGCCAAAAGAACAAAAAAGCAACAGAAATTTAAATAAGAACACATTATTTAGTGATCTGTATTAAGTAATAGATTACTTTTAGTTGTTGCAGTAATCAGAGAGTAACTACTCAATTGTGTCTTTCATTTTTCAAAAATCAATTATAGAACATATCAAATCATATATTATCTTTATTTTTAATTTAAGTCTATAATCAATATTTCTAATACTACACTGCTCAAAAAAATAAGGGGAGCACATGGCTCCCCTAATTTTTTTGAGCAGTGTATGTAAAAACGTCAATTTGTCATATTGAATTTTTTCATTGTTTTATTATTTCTCAAGCAAATGGTTTGATTTCTTATGGCTACCACAATACTTGCCAAATCAATGTATTTTACCTTATTGCATGCAATTTAAGGATAAATGGGATAAGGGCCGCTTCGCTGCCCAGTTTATTTAAATAAAGCAAGCAAGCAAGACTAACTACTACGGTTTCTTCGAAGTTTTAGAAAACAATTTTCCTTGTGGTAGCAAGGCAAGGTTAATAAGCTACTGTCTACTAACCTTGATAGCAAGGGTAATGTATTTATATTTTAATAAATTAAGATTAAAAGAACTTCGCTCTCCACTAAATGCAAGTAATTTAAACCGATACCCATAACGTCATATAGACGAATACTTAAGTTCTTAAGTTATAATAAAAAAATTTTTAAAAATCTTCTTGTTTGAAGAAATTCTGTTTTTGTTCATTACCATTCAAAAATAGTTGGAGTCTCTGAGAAATGTTGCTGTTACTATGACTTCAGTCAAAAATATTTGGAAATAATCTGCCCATGTTGCGATTGGCTGTATTCTCTATACAGAGATGCCAACTTACTCCGGACTGCGGATAAATATTTTCCAATGATAGTGCTTTAATGTATGATAATTGTAAATTCAATTTATAGGATTTTCAGTCACCACTATTACTAAATAATTGAAAGGCTTTCGTGAAACGTCACTTCGTTACAGATATGTCGTGTTGAGTCTTTTAAAAAATTGACAAAATTATTTGAAAATCTGCAAATTTTCGTTTATTGTTCGCAACCTTTTTAAAAAAATATTTTATGGAATTCGGGGTAGTTGGCATCTCTGTCATAACGCCAGTCAAAGCATGCTTCCGACTTCCAAAGACATATTCTACCAGACAGCGTTGCTGAACAAGCTCAAAATATTGACGCAGATGTTTTAAGCATGCCGATCGGTATGTGTAGGAGTCAGGGAACAGGTTCTGGGTTCGAATTCCGGGCAAAGGTATTCTTTCCTTCTCTTTACTATCTGTCCTTACTGTGGGAGCAACGTTGGCCCACTTACTATGGTGCCCCTGAAAGAGAAGTCAAAAAATCTGCCCTTCAGATGCCTGTATGGCGAAAGGTCATTCTCCAGGTGGGCATTGGAGAAAAAAAATATTTTAAGAAAAATTTTATATTGATGTATAAGTTTTTGTGTACACATAAGAAACTGGAAAAAATATTACCCATGTTCTCCCTCACTCGACTTCTTTTTTATGGGCGAAACTAATATTTCGATAGGGATTTAAAAGGAATTATTTTATATCATTTGTTGAGAACAGCTTTTTAGTGATTGTAACAGAAATACGATCTAATCTTGCTCTTTAGATTTTTATAGGTTCACGTAATTTTATAATTTTCCTTTTCTATTTAAGGTTTATAAAGATGGGAAACTATAAATAATAATAATTGCTTGGCTTTATATTTTACAGAAAGTTAACCCTTCGAAGCAGATGGAAAACCTGTGGCCATTTCATATTTTTTTCTGACACTCTAATTACAGGGAAAAATATATTTTGGTATTTTTTTTAATTATAAAATACAGTCTAATAGCTACTAAAAAAGCTGTTAGATTATCGAAATTGTATATGTACTAAAATATTGAAAAAGAAATTCATTCATATTAAAAAATTAATCAATAATTGATTTTGTAAATTAAATAATGAATAATTGTTTCTCTTAAATCTAAATAACAGCAAATAAGTACAAATTTGAAAAATTATTATTTGGAAGTGAACCACGTTCGGAACATTTTACCTTTAACGCAGAAAAAGACATAGGTGTTTCATAGGTGTTTGATGCTATATTTCATAACCATAAATTGCTAAATATAATATTTTTCACTTATTTTGACTCGAAGTATTATAAAATAATGAAAATAATAGGAAAAATAAGCTTAAAAAAATTATACGCTAATGGGTTGAATGTCAGTCTACCATTAAGGGTAATGTCTGTTAACATTTTAGACGGTCCAAAAAAATCCTTGAAAGTTGTTATCGGAAATTTGAAAGTAGTGAACAGCAATAAAAAGCATAATACCCCATCCAATATCGGAAGAATAATGTATCTTAAAATATTTTCTCCAATTCTTGCATAATTAAACTTAAAACCTAAACTGTATAAAACATCTGGGCACCTGAGGCTGCTTGCGGCCCTTTTCCCATTCATCTTTAGCTTGATCTTTGTGGTGTTTCGATGAGGTTGTGGAATGTAAATGAGGTAAAGGAGTATTCCATACCTGCCAANGTAATTATATGCAGTGGGGTGATAAGACTATATTGTAAAAGTATGAACTTTAGCTAAGCTGATGTGATGAAAATGAGGTTATGTGTATGCTATTGATGTCGGAAATATGATGCATCACTACAATAGTATGGTGCTATTGGTCTGATGCTCTTGTCTTCAGTTAAATTTTAAAATGGTAATATTTCATTGAAATTTGATGCCGAGCAAGAGGTGGCTTTTTCGTAGAATTTGAAATTTAATTTAACTATATGCTTGTCTGTTGCATCTATTTTGAGATCATGGTGTATTGTATCTTTTCTTAAGAACCATCTGGCTTTTGCTATCCTTCTTAGTACTTTATTCTGTCAGACTATAAATTTATTTAGCTGAGTTTGTGTTATATTTGTCAAGACTGGTGAAGTATGTGTAAGGATGAGGCGAATTAAGGATAAATAGAGCAATCTTTTGAGTTTTAATGCCATGTTGGATTGATAGAGTAGTACCTGGAGTTTGCTGCATGCTGCTTGTGCCTGACCGGTTATGCTTTTGATGTGATCATTCTTGTTGAATTTACTATTAAGGATGAGTCCAAGGTATTTGGCTTTGTCAACTATTGGTATTGTTTCATTAAATAGAATTAACTTGTTTTGTTGTAGTATTTTTTTTATTTTTTAAATTTTTATTTTATTATTTATTTCGGATGATCAAAAGTTGTCATTTTTGGCCGTTTACTTGAAATTTCCAATCTAGGCACCACTTTTCTATGTCTTGTGTCTTTTCTTGTAGTTTACTGAGGGCTATATTTGGATTTTACTATTATCCTGGTATCATCAGCATAGAGGGCAGTTATGCTATTGTAGTCTTGTTTGTCCATTGGAAAATCATATGGGTAAAAAATATATAAGATTGGCCCTAGAATACTTCCTTCCTGGGACTCCTGGTTTTATGTTTCTTCTTATAGATTTAATGTTTTGAAAGCTGATTTGGAAGTTTCTGTTATTTATTTAATGTTGAATGATCTTAATCATGCCAGTTTTGAAGTTTAGTCGGATTAGTTTGCAGATGATACCAGGGTGCCAGTATCTGTCAAAAGCTTTTGATATATCAAGCATTAATATGACTGAGCATTCTTAGTCCTGGAGTCCTTTTCCAACGTAATCTACTATCCTATATTGACTTGCATAAACAGGACTGCCAACTTTCTACGTTTTCTATGAAAACTTATTCATGTAGTAGCTAAATTTATGTTTTAATGGATCATTTTTAATTCTTTTGATTTATTTTCCACAACTTAACATACAAATTATTTAAAAGTTCATATGCAACGCCAATTTTTCTCTAGCTCTTTCGTGGCGAGGCTTTTAAAAAGTTGAACAAAAAGCGTTACAAAAAGCGTAGTAGTTGTGGTCTAATTTTTTAATATTTGAGAACTTACTCCAATGCTACATTACTTGGACTTTAAAAAAATGTGCGAAAACTGAGAATGAGGCAGTGATTTTGGTAATTTTCATCTAGGGGAAAAATGCCGCCAAACTGGCAGTTTTTAAAGAAGTTTAATAACTTTTATAATATTTAAGTTATTTGTCTGTTCTAAAGCCCAGATAATTCTTCACGGCGAGATTATGTATATAGTTTAAAATCATCGCATATTTTAAGTGTATGGCACTTAAACTATAGCTTTTTTACTTTCCTTGGAGACAGAGCTTCGTAAAACAGAGTTAATGAAGTTTACTAGATGTTTCATCACAGACAAGAGTAATTTGAAATTCGTCCTCCTTTGTAATTCTTCCAATAACGAATGACGGAGTATAAATTATTTCCAGGTGATTCGGTACAAATAACATCTCGGTGACCATGTATTTCACGAGTTGGTGTCAAAAAACCCTGAAAGAAAAAACAAAGTAAATTTTAAGAGGGTGTGTGTAGTGTTTAAAAAATGAAGTGAAAATCACGAAAAAATAGGTATTTTTTGGTTTTGTGGGAAGTATAATATATTTAAATGTAGCAGTTTTTCTATATTTTTACCACATATAAAGAGAAACAGGGAGTTTATATTTTTGATAAAATATTTTATTTAAAAAAACAATGAAGATTAATTTATAATTACCTTTACCTTAACTACCTTTAACTTAATGTTTTGAAAGATGTGAATTTCATGGTGTGCAGCTTTTTAACTACATGTCTCAGATTAGGTTCAAAATTTAAGGTTTTAGCAGTTTTAGTTGTCAAATATATACTTTAGATAATAAGTTAATATGTGACAAATTTTACTTAACAATCGTTTAACAAAAACCTTGATTACTATTTTTAACAATTTAATAACATAATTGTAGTTTCATTCAATTTTTAAATTAATTACGACAACGGCGAAGGAAGGAACTCTTAATCTGCTGAACACCACACCAATGCGTTAAGTTTCTCAATTAAAGGTAATCATCTAATAGAGTCTCAATACTTTGTTGTTTCATAAGACATCGCCTCTATATGCATGATGTATTTAAAAAATATGAATTTTTGAGACTTGTCTTTACTAAATTCTAAAAAAAAGATAAGATTTAAGTTAAAATTCGTGTTTAAATTAATCGTCTTAAAATTCATTATATTTATTTCAGAGCCTTCCGGAGAATATTAGAAATTGTTTGAATCTTAAAAACTGCCAATTTGTTTCTGAAGGTTGTATATTGAATATATTGTGAAAGATTGCTTGAATCTGAAATTCGCTATTTCAGAAAGGAAAAAAAAATCATATATTATGGTATCATGTATCACCATAGACTAATTGAATTATCCGGGTGTTTTCTAACTACAAACGTCACTCTGCAATGCGTTTGCAAGGTTCATTGCAATAGTCTTAACAGCGTCGACAATGTGAAAAGAGCCGAAATTTCCAATTAGTCTACGATACATAAACTGAAAATATAGAATATTTTTCTTCGCATAATTCTTATAGTTAATCTTATGCAGGCTTACTGTAACAATTGCACGTGATCCTTAAATTAATAAAATTTAGTAAAAATGCATTAAAAAATAGCAAAAACTTTAAAATAACTAAAATAGCTTTAACAAAATATTTATTTTCCGAAGGCTGTGTCGATTGAATATTTTGTTGAAGGTTGTCTGAAGAATCCGAAATTCCCTTTTTCATAGATGAAAAGAACTTCATGTAGTTTGTCTACGGTAAGAACTCCACACCCCGACAACAAAGTTTGAGGACGTCTGCTGCCATGGTAACAAGAATAGCGCATTTCAGGGATGGTAGCTTCTCTTCACTCTAGGTTTAACACAATAGACCGAAGAAAAATATTTTCTCTCGTCGACCCGAGTCAAAACCTGTCCTAAACAATGACCCCACACCCCTACTTAAAATTGTTATACCTCGTTACCATAGTCACCACCACGGGTCCAGACGAATGGCTAGGGAAGTTATTACTTTAGACAAACTATATATGCTATAGGCTCGTTGGATTCCCCGGTTATTTGCCAATTGCAAACGTCACTTTGCAATGCTTCTAAAAATCTCACTAATAGTAACAAATAATGTCGACAATTTGAAAACAGCCGGAATTTCCAAATAGCCTACAATAAACTGAAAACATAGATTATTTTTTTGCACAATTCTTATTGTTAGTCTTATTCGGGCTAACTATAACAATTGTACGTGATCCTTCAGAGTTAAAAGAAATATTATTTTAACAATTTTTACTTGTTTCACTCCGCAGTTAATAAGGCTTAAAGCAGCATTAATGACTTTTTGAGTGGGTTTCTCAATATTGTAATTGCCTATAAAACCAATACCAATAGAAATGTAATTATATTTGATAGTATGAGACCCAACTTGTCTCCAACCTCCACCTTCGTAAACTCTTCCATCTCCACCAATCAGAAAGTTATATGAAATGTCGAACATTCCTGGAAATAGAATAAAGAATTTTATAATTCACTTGAACTTTTGTATGAACTGAGTACTTCAAATAATATACATATACAATTTGAAGGCTTGATGAAAAACAACGTTAAAGTTATCGCCTTATTAAGCAAATCCTTAAATAGTAGAGAATTTAATCTTCAAGAATTTAATATTTATTGCTTCGATTTTAAAATTTATATAAACCGAATTTTAAAATAAAATGTGCACTTTATCTGTACGCTTTAAAAATTTTTACGATAACTACAACAGTGGCATGACACCATATTCCAGTCAAAAATTTATTAAAAAAAACAAATAAAAATCAACAGTAAATTTATTTTGCAGTCAGTAGCAATTTATTAATTACTAGCAAAGCAAAATTACTACACATTTCCAGATTTAGGGAGTTTGTTGAAAATTATTATCATGGTTTATTATATGCGTATTATTTCTTTAGGTACTTGCAACTTAAGAAGAAGTGAAATGATTATACGTAACCAAGTGATTTAAATCAGATTTAATTGGATACCTGCATGCGACGTCACGCATGTGGGTCGAACCTAATTGGTTTCTGAGTGGACAAATACATCTATTTAATACGATGACGTCACTTGCAGGTATCCAATTGATAAGACATCTATGAACAACATATATTACTTAAAATTTATTCAATTTTCCTAAATTATTTACGCAAAGTTTTAACTACCAAAATGAGGTAATTTTAGCCTATAATAGCTCTTTTTTAAGAAAATAACACTTTATTATTGGAAGAACGAAATGAATAGCAGAATAAATATTTTATTCGAAGAAAATATATATGGGTGCAGAAAGTAACTCGTGAATAATTTCGCAATTCACAAATGAAAGATAAATGTAAGTATCTTTCAGCAGTCTTAAAAATTTTAGTTACCACTCATTAATTTTTTCCAGGGTGTGGGAGTCCTGTAATATAAATACACTAATTGAAACTAGAATCTCAATATTGTTATTTTGCTTTATCAAAGTGGTATCTAAAAGAAGAAAATCTCCATCAAATTTAAATATAAGAGTTCTCTCCCATTTTTATGGTAAATTTGGTTTTAAAAAAGGAAAATTTAAAATTCCCAGCTAGTATGAAAAGTTTATAAAGTATAAGAAATATATATTTTATATTTCAATTATATTCTAATTTTAGGAATGAATTTGTCACTTAAACGAAGAAAATCTAATAATCACGAATAAAAAGTTTTATTTTTAGGACTATACATTACCATTGTAATCCATGCAGAAATCCTGAATCATTTGGACATTTCGAACGCATTGTGGTTTCGTTCGACAGAATGTGGTTACAGTATGAGCTATTATAACTTTATTGATTGGTAAAACCAAAGTTTTATTGTGGACTATGGGACGAGCTTTCCAATCTTCTCTCCAAACAATTTCGACGCCATCACAGTCTCTTTTATCTTTAAGGAAAAAAACAACATTTTTCTAATTTAATGAAAGTATTTAAACATTAAAATTAGATTGTAACATATTTTTTTAATGTGATGTACTGTTTTTATTTCAGCGAAACACAATATGTATTTTGTTTCGCAACTGTAATGTCAAATATCGCAAATTAAACAAGCATATTTTTTGACATTTAAACTGCAATTACGAATAATTGATTTTGAAGGAAGGAAGTAATTGGTCTTAAAAGCAATTTTTTAAAAAAAATATTGGGAAATAAATAAAAAAAATGGATTAATAATTAACGATTAATGATTAATAATTAATATCGCAACATTAACTATTTATTTATCTCGAGAACACATCCCACAGCAAATTTAAAGTAATTAACAAAAGCAGTTGAAATAATTAACATAAATTATTTTTAAAAAATATATGTTGCTAATTTATATTTTTCCACCAAAAAATAATTAAATAATACAAATAACAGGGCTGTCAACTTTCAATGCTTTCTGGGAAAATTCCTTCCAGTGGTAGCAAAGTTTATGTTTTAATATATTTTTCCGTACCACTACCTGAGAATAATTCAAAAATTTTCCTAAAAATCCACATCGTTGTGTTTCCTTTGTGGTAAAAATTCGCAAAAAGCGTAGCAAGTTGACAGCACGACATACCTATAGTGCTGTATATTTACCAGAGGGAAAGTAAGTAGTGATGAATGGTTTATATTTAAAATTGTTAAAGCTTATTTTATTCCTCATAAAAGGCAGCTAAAAATATAGTGGTTTCACTATCAATGTAATCTCTTTTTTTAATTTTCAGCCCTGATATTGCGTACTGAACTTGACATGTCAATGCTGATGAGCACTAGAAACCGATTATCGCAATTATATTGAAAACTTATCGACAGAATAGTAAATTAAATACAAGTACAATAAAATAATAACAGTAATTTAATAAAATTTTCATTGGTTCAAAAAGTGATGATGATATTGATACATTATTTAGATTAGAATTTGATAAGATAACGATAAAAAACCAAAGTAATTTTTCTCTACTTAAATTACCTTTTAATGACGTAGTAGCGCAAAGAATTTCCAAAAATATTATGAATGATATCTTACTCATCATTATGAATTCTGCAAAATAATAAAACAACATATAAGCAAAATAATAAACACTTCAGTAATTATGATTGAAAAAAGTAATTTTGTTCATAAATCACTATCACTGTATATGTTTTGAATATAGTAACTTTTTCATAGAAAAATCCAGGAGCCGAAATTATTGAAAAACTCTATACTAGAATACTGATAGATTCATTCATTTGAAAAGATAATTCATGATATAATCCCATAGAAATATTACAAACACAGTTCGGAAGAAACGTAACAAAATTCTTCAAGTGATTACAAACATGTTTCAGAGACATCATTATTGAAATGTTTCAAGAAAGTGCTTACAGAACCATTTCCCTGGTGATTCATTTCAAATATTTCAAAACAGATACTTGAGAGCAAGCGCAACATCTGAAGTTAAAACAGTACGTTTTGAAGTCGTAACTTCCATTAATTCACACTCACGCTGCTACAAATTTTAGAGCGTGTGGTGCCCTGATATCGTTCGAATTTGCTTCAACAAAAACTATATCTTCTAAACTATTTCGGGGGAAAAAGGAAAAAAAAGGGAAAAGAAAAATTAAAAAAAGAGCGACTGAGAGAGAGAAGAAAAAACCTTTAGCAAAACCATTTTATGTCTAGCTCATTCTCTCGGAAAAAAATTCTCTGTGATTATAAAGACCAGAGGTCGCCAAAGTGGTCTATATAGACCCCCAGGGGTCTATTTAACAAAAGCGGGGGTCGATCCGAATCGGAAGGGTCGATTGTGGGTCGAAAAGAAAAGCAGTTCTCAATACGCAAATCACACATACCTAATTAAGTATGTAAAATTTGTGATTTTTTTTTATAATTGACTCAATATCAGTTTCTTTATAAAACATAAATTAATAAACGTATATTTATTGGGGTGAAACAAGTATTTACGTACCACCGCGCAGTGGCACGAACTCAGCGCAGTTTATAAGTCATATGCATATGTGCGCTTGTCCAAATGTCACGTGTGACGAGCATTGACGTTACAAATGCAAATATCATACGCAGTTTCAGCTATCTTTGCAAACTGTGTTGAATATTTGCAGTGTCATTATTAAAACTTTTATAGTTTTGGATAATTAGTTATTGTTTCGATAAAACCATTCGTTTGGTTTAGATATCAATTTTAATTATCAATGCACAAAAAAGAAGGTAAGCATTAATGATATGGATTAGTACAGCCCGCGACAAAACTATAGCACACTTTGTATTTTTTTACGAAAATTACAAAATTGACCAATTTTGACGAAAATTAAAATTGACCAATTTTGAACCCAATATAGCGAACCTTGCAAAAAAACACCAGGCCCACCCATCTTATTGATCAAGAAGCAGTAAATCTTTAGTTACTTTACTTATTATATCTACTTATGCATAATTACTTATTATTTAATAATAAGGTATTTAAATTTCAATATTAATATATTTTTCATAAAACTATTGTTACACAATGTACTATTACTTTAATAAATGTTTAAAATCATAAAATAAATGTACAAACACAGTATCTAATAGAGTTTTATTTTAATTAACAGAAAATTACTTTTGTGGGGGTCGATGGAGATTTCGAAAAATTATGTAGGGGTCGATGATCAAAAAAGTTTGGTGACCCCTGATCTAGACCTATTAATATGACTTTTCCGACAGAGGAAATAGCAAAGAATATACGTAAAATTTTTAAATAAGGCAGAGTTTTTTAATTTTTTTTTTATCTCTTCCTTAAATAAGTTAGACAGGCCTGTATAATAGCGTAATTTCTTCCTTAAACTATATCACATGATATTATAGATCAATTTTCATAGAAAAAACAGCCTATTAAGTTGCATTAAATATGCACAGCATTATTTTTTAAAGTACCTAAATTATAGTTCAACGTTAAACCGATTATTCTAGAAGTGTAGCAGACTCCTAGATGAGAGATTCAAATTGCATTTTAACACGTTGAATGCCACAGGGGTCACCGGTGACCGGCACTGAGTTTGTTCATAGCGCCACGGGGGTCACCGGTGACCGGGGAAGCAAGATTATTAGAAACACATAATTTGAGTAAATTTTTATTACTTTTAATTTTTTAAATATTATTATCGTTACTATAATGGTTTGAAGAAATTAATGCAATATGGACAAAAATAGTTTTATTTATATACATAGAGATGCCAACTTGTTCCGGACAGCGAATAAATATTTTCAAGTGGTAGTTTATTAATTGTGATTCTTGGTTTAATAAATTCAATTTGGTAGATTTTTATCTATCACTATTTCTAAACAGTTCGTAGGCTTACATAATTCACCACTTTTTTCACCTTTTTTGGCAATTTATGTAAATCACCGCTCAAGTCAGTATATACCTCAAATCACGTTTATATTTTTGTAAGTGTTACCACAATGTCACAAAAACAAAATGTCTTATTCACTGCATAATTTTCATGATGTATGGGGTAGGGGCCGCTGCTCGGCCCAGGCACCCAATTTGTTTTAAATAAAGAAAAGAAAAGACACCTTTTAAATAACTAGCAAAATCTGTCTAATATTTACAAATTAAGTTCGTAGTTATTTACCGTTTGGTCAGACGGGCAAGCCATGTACAATTAGCGTGGAATTCAACGTGTTAAGAATTTGAATTCAAATTTGTCACAAACATTTTAGAAACTGAGGTTCAAATAAGTTGTCAGTATGCTGACAGTCTTGCGTGAAATTGAATAATTGGAACTATTTTTGAAATCCCTTGGGTACCATTTCCGTCTGCAACTATTCCGTTAACTATTTTGAATAAACCTTAAATCACTGCTCAAGATGAGAATTTTTTGCTGTTGTTCAACTACGCGTGACTACGAAGGGCATACCTCCATTTGAAAAGGTAAATAAACTATAAACTTTAAATGATTTATTTCGCAAGAAAATTTTTAAACTATTTCTATCCCAAGGTGAATATATTTGTTTTAGTTTTTCATGTGATAGAGGAACGTGCATATACCATTACTTGTTTATCACCATATTAAACACTCATTTATCATTTAAATCAATATTTTCTTACTAACTACAACTCATGATAATATTAGGAAACAAAAATAAAATAATTATTTTTTCCTTTTAATATAATTTTTGCTATTGGTATATATTGTAACAGCTCTTATTGGTAAACATTCTGGTTTAAAATTCCTTTACAGACAAAGAATTAATTATTTTTGTGTTTTCAAGACATAAGATATTGATGTTGTTGAGAAAAATCAATGTAATATAAACAAAGACTATTCTACAGATAAAAAATATTTTTTTCTTCCTCAAACATACCACGATATGGATGTTTTTAGAGCTGCTACTTATTCAGAAAACATAAAGAACAGGTAGTAAAAATATTTCCTCTCTACACTGTAACTAATTTTGGTGTAAGATTGCCACCAATTTCGGTGTTGAGGTAAGTTAAATACATTTTAACTTTACAAACTGGAATTATCATGCAAAAAATTATGTAAAGTTGACGAAATAACAATTGTTTTAAAAAAAGCGTACATATATTGCAGTATAAATATTAGTACTACATGGTTTGAGAAAATGAATGTAAGTATAATAATAAAAATGTGTATGTTTTTTTAATGAAATATTTTCGCAATGAAATCAATAATATAGTATGTAATGATCCATAAATAAATTATTATGAGCATGAAAATATGTGTTGTTACTAAATAAGCAAACAAAAAATGAAAAATATTAGTAAATAAAACTATAACAGTGAAGAAGCAAATAAAAAATGTGACTGTATGCATAACAAAAAATTTAGTTTACTCCTACACCAGAAATAGTGGCAACTATGAACCAATATTTCTGTACAGTGTACCTTTTCTTTGAGAAAAGTAAGCAATCCGTAACTACCACTACTTAATAATAGTTAAAATTTGAAAATTAATTCTTACAAATTGCTAATGTTGTTGTAAAATTAATTTGTAAAAGTTCCCAAAGATTTCATATGTTATAGCTGTTAATATATAGTAGCAACTACGAATAGTTTATTTTTCTCGAAAGAAAGGTAAAAATGATATATATTTTTACTACAAGCCATTTGTCTTTTCAACACACAATACAAAATCTTCAATTCTTTTCAACACATAATGCAAAATTAAGTTCAGTTCTTCATAATGTTGTTAATAAACATAAATAGTTTTATTTAATTCTGTGTGAATTGTTAATGTCATTTAGGAAATATTTTTTAAACGTGATAAGTGCAAGATATTTCCACCATTTTATTCTTTTTATTTAAGAATTTTAAAGGAGATTATTATTCTTTCTTCGTTTTTTTACGATTTGTATCTGCCTTCTGATTTGCGCCATTTTATACTACGCTTCGAAACATTAATCATATTTAATATATCAGTAAGAATTAGGTCCTCATAATACAGAACTGTTATTTACCCAAAAAGTAGAAAAAACTGATAGTAAAACTATTTTATTTCTATCCTATTTTATAGAGCAGTAAATAGTGAGGAATAATTTAGAATGGTAAAGACTTTCACATTTACTATTTTCACTTTATTTTTTAAATAATCGCGGCTGAACAGATTTCATGTGTAAATTTATGCATTACGTTAATGTGTGGAATTTTTTCAACTTTCAAAAACGAGTAAGAAATTAAATGGTTTTACTGCCAGTTTTTTTTCTTTTGGGATCTGCTGAAAATTTAAAATAATAAAGCGCAATTGTTTGTAAATTGTTAAACTGCGACAATTTTCATAAAACTTATCTCAATTTTAAAACAAATGAGATAGATAATATAAAGAAGATTGATATAAAGTAAAAATATACACTATAGTGGATTGAATGCAATAGAGGTCACCGGTGAAGCCAAGATTATTAGAAACACATAATTCGAGAAAATTTTTAATTTTTTTATATCATTATCGTTACTAAAACGGTTTGAAAAAATTAATGCAATATAGAACACACAAAAATAGTTTCATTTATATACACAGCGATTCCAACTTGCTCCGGACAGCGATATTTCAAGTTTGTAGTTTATTAATTGTAATTGTTGGTTTAATAAATTCAATTTAGTAGATTTTTATCCACCACTACTTCTGAACAAATCGTAGGCTTATATAATTCACCACTTCTATCATATATGCCATGCTAAACCTTTTAAAAACTAGCAAAATCTGACTTATATTTGCAACTTTAGATTGTAGTTATTTACCGTATGGCAAGACGAGAGAACCATGTAAAAATAGAGTGGCATTCAACGTGTTAAAATGAATAATGATTAATTTTTTAATCAGATACTAATACTTGACGCATTTTTTTAACATTTAATTTTTTTTTAGTTCAGATGTATATGTCATATATATTTTAAGCTATAATTAATATTTCTGTCTATTTGTAAACAAATTAATATTTCTGTATATTTGTAAACAAAATTGTAACCTCCTTTCTTTTGAAACTTTAAATAATTGATTGAGGTTGGCTGGAAGTAGTTGCCAGACGTGGATTATACGGGTAAGGGTTTTACTAACCTATGTACGTATCCGCGTCTGGAAGGAAAGAAAAAAAAAGTTCAGATGTATTTAACTTTGTAATGTTATCATTAGTCCGCAAAAGGTTTTTTAATACCAATCATTTTAAATATCAGCTGCATTAAAATAAAGTATCAAAAATAAATGTAAAAAGTATCGACACATATTTAATAATACATATGCATATTTTTAAAGAAACATATTTTCTTGAAAAAATTTTAATTGTTATAAAATTAATTTTTACAGAAATGCTATACCAAAGTTAATTTCCTTTAACTTGTTAAACGCTAATGCTTCATTCTTGAGTCACATGAGCACCTTGATTCCGAATCATTCTTTTTTTGGTTGATTATTCAATTCTTATACAATTTGAATGCCTCCTCGGCATGAATTGACGATCACATGACGGTAAAAGAAAAAACATTATAGTTATAGATAAGGCATTACACCTTTTTTTTAAAAACATTCAAGCTTTGATATTAATTGATCTTTTGTTTGGAATGTTCTTTTCGATATATTTTTTCAGATTATAATATATTTCTTTGAGTAATTTACATATTCTAGTATTTTGTAAGCAAAAATATAGAAAAATGTCAATACAGTTTTGCAGCTGTACCCTCTTACATTCGAAAGCCGACTATTCAATTATGTCTCATATGATAAAGTCAATATTAAAAAAATTTTAAATTTCAGATTATGTAATTCAATAATGAATATGAATTTCAAACATTTCACCCAACTTTTTCAATAGCTTATTTAATTTTTAGTGATAACAATCATTCAGTTAACTCTAAAAGTATTCCGAGTAAATAGTACTAATACTTCGTTTGCTACTTACTTTGATAAGAAAAAGTAACGTAAACGTGGTCTGTTATATTTATTTCAAATTTCTTCAACGCAAACAGACATGTTGCAGATAAATTTAAATTCCAAAATCACTTTATCATCATAAAGTAAATAAAATACACGAACTTTAGTCAGCTATCTTTTTACTGCTCTTACAATGCCAAAAATATGGGAAAACCCTAACTGTGACAGAACAATATGACGTAGCACCGTTCTTTGTTTTGACGTATAATAGCGTGCCAGAATGGATGACTAAAATTTTATCAGATACATCCGCTTTCCTTGTGAAAGTAAACTAACGTGAATATTTTATGAAATTAACAATAAACTACGCTTTAGAATATATATGGCTNTATATATATTCAGAACTTTTTCTTATAGATAAGAATAAATAATGATGGAAGGGTCATAATTAAAAATACTAAAAGTTTAATGGTTTAAGATTTTACCTTACTATTAGGGGAAATAAAATTTCGAATAAAATAGTGATGTTGATAAAATGTTGATAAAACGTGATAAGTTGTTGATAAATATTGATAAATGTTAATCAATGTTGATAAAACTTTGTCACGAATGTTAAATCAGAATGGACAAATGTCTTATGAGGTGGTCGGAAATTTTAAAGGTTTTAATTTCGCTTTAATTTGAACACGGTTCATACGCTCATTGAAAAAATTCAAAAGTAGCAGTAATATTAATAGAAATTTTTTATATTATTATGTTTGTAGCTACTAGAATATTTTAATTTCTCTAAGTACATATAGATCCGAAGGTGGCAGATGGAAACTTTTATTTTGATAGAGGAAGCATATATTAAGAAATTTCCAGCTTCTTCATAACAAAACTGATACCAAATATTAATTATTTTCCAATTGAGTACGAACCCTGTTTAAGAGCTAAGTTGGGCAATTTTAATTACATTTTCTTTTGGTAATTATTGGTTGATAGGAATTAGATAAAACACTTCTTGCTTCAATCTTTCTCAACCTCGTTTAAAGTCTTATTGTTTCTAATGCCACTTGGACAAACCAAGCTCGTCAACCATAGTCCTGTGTAAATTAATAAGGAAGCTACATCTTTCGTTTAGCAAGAGAGCACCGCAAGGGTTGAAGTCTGTCTTAGCTCAGAACCACCGGATAGGTGGTAGCATCAATCATTCTTCAGACCACTTCCACAATTTTGACATAGATCTGAAGGGGAAGAAAATTTTCTCCAGATACCTGTATTCATGGTACTGCTCCACGACTGATAACGGGATTTTAAATTCCACCGGTGGTCTTACGAGCACGTATTCGGTGGATCTTAGCGGAGTCGAGAATCGAACCCTGGCCCCCTGCGAACCGGAGTCCGATTCTCTAACCGCTGGGCTACTATAGTTATCACTTTATAATTTTTGTCGACCTGCAGCCACCTGAAAAATGCCGCTTCAAAATAAATTACAAATAAAATTTTTTGTTACCAGCCTTTCTTTCCTCCCCCCCCCTAGATTAGTAGTAACTCTAGTAAAGTTGAAGTTCTAGTGACTCTTCCCATCAATCATATAAAAACTCAAAAGATGTCTGATTAAAATACTCCGAAAAATAACATACATCGCGATTCTCAACAATGAATTTTTAGACCATCATATTGCAAAGTTTAAATTGCAAAGTTTTTGTAAAAGCAATAAATTGTGATACCGCAGGATTTAATGACAAAAAGAATGAAGTTTTTGCTGTTAACCTGAAAAAAGACATAAGCCCGCGCCAATGGCTGCTTATTTTTGTAGCCGCGAATCTTTATCCAGAATACAAAACATTTCAATTTTTTTTCACTCCGATTAGCATTCCAGTTACCTTATTGTTAGTGACATAAAAAGAAATTATTGTTAGTGACATAAAAAGAATTATTGTTAGTGACATAAAAAGAAATGTTTCGAGTACTTAAATATACTTTGACTGCAATTTTAATTGAAAAAAAGATTTAGGGAAAAGAGTGAAAATTAGAAACTGTAGTAAAAAAATACATATAAAATACTTGACGAAGTTAAAACTTTTTTTCTCATTTAGTTTGGGTTTGACATCTGTCATACACGTAACAGAGTGACAGAGAAGTTAAAGTTATGAATCAAAAATATTTTATTGCAAACTAAATACATAAAGACATTACAAAACATTGTAATTTGTAAAATGATTTTACAATAGGGAAATATTACACTTATATGCTTGAAGCTAGTAAACTTTCAGGATAACCTTTTTTTTCTCTTGGCACAGTTAGAAAGGTGAAATTATGAATTGTCCTTTATCAAATCTTGACCGATCACCGGCTTATCGAGGGGTTTACAGTAAAAACTAGACATTCGCCCACCCTTGTAATTTTTCCATTGCCTGATAACTTTGTAAAGCTTTTCTCCCGGAGATTCCGTACAAGCCACATCTCTATGACCATGGATTTCCCGAGTAGGGGTTAGGTAACCCTAAAAAGAAATATTTGATTGTCTTAAAACACATCCTAATAATCAGAGTAATAGTATAATATGTAAGTTAGTATTTGCATTTGAAGGGTGATTTTACACATAAAATGATCAACACTCAAAATTTTTAATTCTCATTAAAATACTACTACACCAAAGCCAAAAAAGAAAATGATAATCTGACAATAAAAATATTGGTTTTTTATTTCTTTTTCGACAGTAAACTATTCCAAAGTACCACCACTAGAGTTTTAATCGACGAAGTTAAAATCTTTTAAAAGTAATTATAACTGTTACCAAAAATTTTTGCGTCCCTTTTTTGAGAGAGGGGTATCCCATATTATTAATAAATAAACATTTATTTATGAAAGGAAAAAATAAATTGAATATCATTTTTAGCCAATACAATCTTATGCAAGAAAACATCAGAAAATATTAGCAGAAATAAACTAAGTTCGCGAGTTCAATTATTGAGTTGTTACTTCTTCACGATTGTTTACATCACCAAAGTTCCGTTGCCGCTATTGATTGTGGTAATCAGTTAGAATAAAATTTTTAACTTCAAAGGTATTTATAATTTAGTAATATTTTTTAGTAAATTTTATAAATTTCAATGAAAGATACATAAAACTTTAAAGTAGTATCGTAGGCAGTGTTTTTTCTGCAGAAACATTCAGTGTACTTAATAATCTTGACCGCTTCATCAAAACATTCAAGAATTAATTTAATGATTTAATAAATCTATCAGTGAATATTATGATTGTGCTCATTTTTCATAATGTTCGCTCGCAGTTGTTGACTACTCTGTTAAAGCGTATTGTTTGACTATAAATTACAAGTATTGTAGTTAGTTTAGAATAGGCTCGAAAAAACACTGTTTACATGGTAATTCGCATATGACAGAATTTCACTGCAGCAATGATAAAGATAAAAATTCAAATTTAGTAAGCAAGTTTGCTATGTTAAAACAATTATTAATTAATCGGCTACTTTTTAGTTAAAACCATTACCTTTCAGATTGTTTGAAATTTCACTCACAAGACGAACACTATTGTTACAATATTTAAATTTCCTGTTAAATATATTGTAAAATAATGAGTTGAACATCTTTATTTTCATTTCTTGAATACAGACAGAATTGCATGTTTTTTGATACATGATTAATTATATTAATTTATAAATGATAGCAAATGGTTAAAAAAATAAGCAACAATATGGTCTACATTTTAATTTAGGAAGTTTTTAATAAAAATGTGAACATTTCCTATTGGCTCTATCAGTTTATGCAATGTACAAAAATATTTTGATAGTTAAGTGTCATTATACTTAATCTTTAAAAAGAAAATTAAAAGGTATTGAATTTGATATATTTTTGTATCTGTATACATACTTGAATATTCACTTCAATTGAAAAGGGCTTAAGGGTTTTGAACTATAATTTCTTCTTTTTTTTAAAAAAAATAATTAAGAAGGAATAAAATTATTACTTGAGAGCGGTTATAAATGAAATATTTTTCAATTCTTGCACGGTGATACTGAGATTTTTTAGTGCAGGTATTGTTACGGAAATCTACGCATTAAATTTTAGACATTTTCAAATTAAATGATTTAAGTTTTAAAGAAATATTCAATGCTTAATAGTTTTAAATTTACTTTAACTAATTTAATCTTTTCAATGTTAAGTAACGTAAAGTTTTAAATTTAGTGTTCTCAATGTAAAGTTCAACTTTTTTTCTCTTATAATTTTAGCTTCGTCCGAGGCTACTGGACAATGCAAATGGAAAATAACATTCTGGTTGAAAACGGGGGGCCGTAAGTTCAATCGAGACTGAAAATAAAACAACTGGCGTGTATATGCTGTTAGACTCTCTTTAAATCTGCCGGAGCTGAAAGTTCTCTTATTTGTTGTTGTGTAGAAGTTTGAAGAAAGGCCTATCTCTGTGTGGTGTATGGTTTACACATTGTTAACTGTTGCTGACAATTTTTTTAAATCTTTCAATAAAGCAAAGATTCTTCAGTTTATTGCTCTGAAACATAGTTGAACATAAACAAAAAATTGCAATTGAAGGGGAAGAAAAACTTCAAACTGCATGAAATGATTGTAAAGTTTTGGAATTATTTTTATTTAAAAATACTAATAATTAAAATGATTACACATAGTCCAACTGTTGCTTTTTGCAGTAAAAATAATTTTATTTAATGACAAATATGCGTTCTTAAGGATTATCGATATGCTTATATCAAACAATGACGGTAAGAATATATTGCTTTTATAGTTGAGTAAGTTTATTCTGTGTTTTGTTTCAAAATAAAGCAATTAAATTGTGAAATAATGTTTGTCATGATTTGATTTGATTAATTTTTTTATTCTTAACTACTGCATTGTGTAATTTATTCTGCAACTTTGTAATAAATCTTCGGAATTTTAGAAAATGGGGTAGGCAGATATGTGTTCATTAATAAAACTTAATAAGACATAATGCCGGAAATTTTTTATAGTCATGATAGTAATGTTTAAGTATTATGAAATCAGATGTAGTTAAAATTCAGTTTCTTTTAAATTTTCAACATATCAGAAACAATTTTATTTTTATTTTAACATAATTGTTAAACATTAACTCTAGCTTATGAGCATTTATACTACTAACATTGTATTTTTACTTTAATTTTGAATTATTTGGCTCAAATTTCTGATAAGAAGTATATATATATACTGCNCTTAATTTTGAATTATTTAGTTCAAATTTAAGATAAGAAGTGAATATTTT